TTTCTCAAAAATAAGAAGTTAACCACTAAACAAATTATCTGGTTAGATTTCCTGGATGCACACTGGGATCTCTCAGCCAAGATACTAGACTCAGGTAGAGATTTAAAAGTCAATTGTTAGCTGCCATGATTTAGCCCCAGCCAGCAACAAAGAACCACTCAGAAGAAAAAGGCAAAACGCATCAGTTGGGATACAGACAGTTTAACAGAACAGCAGAAGAAAGAGAACAAGAACAACAATAATACTGACAAAAAGAATATACAAAGCAAGAAATACCTAGTGCAATTTTGTCGCCACCTTATGCCCATCTTGCTCCCAAGCAGCAATTACCCTTCCCCGGCCAGCTCACCTACTGGAGTCCAGTTCATGATGTCACATGGTATGGAATATCCCATTTATGTGGCCAGTTTGGGTCAGCTGTCCTGGCTGTGTCACCTCCCAGCTTCTCATGAAAATTAACCCTATTGCAGCCAAACCGAAAACAATAGCCAACCCCTGTTATTAAAGAAGATTAGGAGATTAGTTTTCTTTCCGGACATAAGAGTTTGATAAAATACTTGGGTAAAGCTCTAATGAAGGCAACAGAGCTGCTGCTGACACATCACTTTAAGAATTTGACAAAGATGACTGATCACGGCTCAATGGATGACTGATTTTTTCAATTCAATGGCCAAAGTAGTGAAAATGTGTTTCAGGCTAAGTCAATACTAAGATATCACATAATACTTCGCATTACAAGCCATAGGTTTGGAGAAGTTTAAAACAAAATTGTTCCATTTTCAGCTTTTTTGGTTAAAGTGGAGGGCTAGGTGAACAAAGAGAGTTATATTGTTCTTTCCACGTTATGAACATCTGGTTAGACGATTCCTCTGGAGAGGAATCCCCTCTGCACACCTTCAGAGCATTTCCCCGAACTTTAAAATGGAAGTTGTTCTGTTGCACGTTTGTATCCATTTCCTTTTAAACAATTTCACTTTATGGCATCTGCCTAAATAATCATTGGAATTACAACTGAAACCTAGATCTTCCTGACTGCACAGACAATCATTTTCATTTCCTCAAGTTGCTCCAGGATTGGATTTTAGGAAAAATTTCTTTACTGAAAGAGTGGTCAGGTATTGGAACAGGCTGCCCAAGGAAGTGGTGGAGTCTCCATCCCTGGAGGTGTTCAAAAAACATGTAGATATGGCACTTCAGGACATGATTTAGCAGGCATTATGGTGATGGTTTGATGGTTGGACTTGACAATCTTGGAGGTCTTTTCCAACCGTAATGGTTCTATGATTCTATGTCCTGGAGTACAAGAATATAATTATTAACACAGAAGAGCTTCAAAAAAAGGAAACAACAGGAAAACTACATTGAAAATTCTTCTTAGTCATTGTTTATCTGTCTTAGACATGGAAGATCACTTAGCAAATTTTGTCACTGCAATAAGCTTCTGAAAAGGATCAGCTGCCTCCTCCATTTTACAAATGCTGCTGTAATCCAAATGAATCCAGACTGAGAAATATTTTGGATATATTTCAGCAAATGTTATTGTGGAACCACTTTTTAAATTTAAGGTCCAAAAGTATTCACCCAATTTTACAACAGTCACAAAGGTTTCAGGTTGACTAAAACTGCAATTTTCACTGAATAAAACTATTCACTTGGAAAACAATACTAAACATTGTCGAGATATCATGTATCATACAAAAAAGGGAAATCCTGCAAAAGATATGCTGCCAGGCTACATGCAGAGCAAAACAGAAGCTATCAGGAAGCTTATAAAAGATGAAATAAAGAACAGAGTAGACTGACATCAAAAGGAACAGAGCTGAATATTAAAAATATGTAACTGTGTAGCCAGAAGGCCAAGCATAACACCTAAGGAAAACAAATGAACAAACCCAAAAGGAAGAGGAGTTTAAGGTAACAGAAGAGAATGAAATACACAAAGGAATCAGTTGAATTTTAGACAAAATCATGTTCTCAGCTGATCCACGGTTTCAAGTCGTCTAGTCTGCTACCAGCTTAAAGTAAATTGCAATTGATACGCTGCATGAAAACTAGGTGTTTAAAAAGAAAAGCATAAGAAGTGAAAGATGCTGTAGACTTAGGGGAGGACTTGGGATGGAAAATATTTAGGAATACTTAACTATTCAGTAATACATGATGCCAATATCATTGCTCTTTAGTAGTGATATAGGTGACTAGAGCTAGCCGTAATACTCCAAATGCTAAGCGTGAACAGCAATACCTATGCATGCATGTGTCATTTTCCAAATTGACAGAACTTGCTAATATTTGGACTAAGAAATTCTATTTTTATTTACTAATTCTCAACTTTTTTAATGAATATTTTATTTCACTGCTACTGTTGTTTAGGAAGTACTCACTCCTGCAGCACTCAGTAAGCTTCACCATAGTCCATGCTTCTGCCTGTTCCCTCGCAACAAGATACACAATCACTTTTAAATGACTGGAGTACTACATTTAAGAAAAGCCCATTTTCAGTTTGTGCCATTTATCTCACCTAAGACAAATTTCCTTTGCAGGAAGCCATATCAATACTCAGATAAATCCAGGCTGTAAATTTGTTGCTTTCACAAAAAGCAATTAACCACTGCCTAAGCAATGGAACAGGTCTCCTTGAAAACTGTATTTGTGACTTCATAATCTAAATCTCTCACTCACCAGCAAAATTTCATTCATCTGTTCATTCAGCTAAATATTCTTTCCATGACATTTTGCTCCTTTGTAGTGACTTTTTCATGATATTTGTTACTAATTGCTAAATTTGTTTGTGGATGCTATACTAAGCTTCTACAAAAAAAGACAGAAGATGCATTTGAATCACTACTGGAATTGAATATATCACTTGGATTCTGCCCACATTAATATTTGCAGGACCTCAAAGTCTCCAGACAGACTGGTGTCCTACTGTGCTATTGTCTGTTCAAGTTCAGCAGAGACACAGAGGAGCTGCTCAGCAAAGTTTGTAATCACAGACACTCAAAATGGAAAAGGGCTACCAGAGCCCATTCCAGTGAAATTGTAGAAATCATGTGAGATATTCAAACTTCATTCACTTTTCCATAATTATTATTCTTGTTTCGCCACCATATTCCTTTCCTGATTAGAAAACATCTAATTTCCACCTTAAAATGTGTTATTGCTCAATTTATGTCCATTTATCTTCTAAGTTTGTCAGTTTGCTTAACAAATTTTTCTTCCTTAGTATTTGGTGCACTGACTAATTCAGACAATTTAACATAGATCGCCATCTTTGTTCCACTGGATGCAAGCTAGGCTTTTCTCATCTCCTTCCATAGCTGCACTGTCTTTCCCTTCTCCTCCTCAGCTTAGCACCTACACCATTTTAAACCCATCCTTCTCAAACATGTGTGATCAGGTTTTCACACAATATTCCTGCTCTTTACTGGAAATAGGCAGGTCTTCTACTTAGAAACAAAGATGAAGTTATTTTCTGGAAACTTAGTGGTCCAGCTAGGAAAAGCATTCAAGCAACCACAGCCAGCTGTCATCAATAATAAGCCTCCTAACAAGATATTTGAGTAATGAAATGTGTAATGTGCCAGTGTACTACAATTTGACCTCTACAGAACCACTGTAGCAAAACCAGTTATGAACCCATTTAACTAAAAACTGCTTGTGTTTTTCCTGGGATAAATCTTTTATCACATCAGTTCAGATATACAAATATGCACTAAACTAAGGAACACTGAAATAAACAAGATTAATAACATTTCCAACTACAATATCTACCCATTTCTCAAACTCAGAGTATTATATTTAAATTTTCCTAAACTACAGCGAAAGAAAAATATATTACCAAAGCAACTCATAACACAAAGGATACATGCACATGCAAACATAATCAAACTGTTAAGAAAGACAGGGATATTTTAGAACCGGTTTTTGAAACAGAAACACAATTTAAAGTTGGGCTTAAAGTACCAATATTTGCTAAAACATTCGTGAGTGTCTATCACCATTATCTCCTACTCCAAACAGCTAAAGTAGGGTACTCTTAGTGTGTAATAATTATATTTTAACATTCAAAATAATTCATATTTTCACTATGTAGGAAAGACAGACCTAGATAAAATCTGTTCCAGCATAAGTGCTTATTGAAGTATGAATGGAAATGTAGCATAAAGAGTATATGAATGGTATGCTATACAGTTCATTAGTTCACCAGAAAGCATTTGCTTCATTAAAAAATGAACTGATCTCTAGACTACAACATTTAACTCTTGTAACTAATTCTAGTGACTTAAATGTTTTAACATATTTAACTGCATATGTGTCATACATATATCCTGCAGGTTCTGCTGGATTCTGGAAATCTCCGAGACCAACATATTTTAAAAATTTATTTGGTAATTCCAGCAAACAGTATTGAATAATCATCATAACCCTCTCTGAGCAGCCAAGGGAGACTGGATTAGATGAAAGGCGAGTGGACCAGAACTCAGCTGTAACAAAAGATGTCTCGAGAAGTAAAGCACACCATCTCTGTCTTCATACGTATCATTCAGGTGGTTTTACCTTTCCAAGGGGCTTCAATGAACCGCAGCCTCCAGACGAAATCAATGAAGATTTAACACTGGAGTAAGTAGAGGCAGACTTTTTTTGATCTTCTGAGGTTCTTTTTATTATATACAATCTCTTTAATTTAAAAGAAGAAAGAAATAGAATTACAGAATCACAGAATCACAGAATGGTAGGGGTTGGAAGGCACCTCTGTGGGTCATCTAGTCCAACCCCCCT